GCATCGGATCCCAAGAGTCAGCCGTCGCTGTCGTCGACTGAACTACGGCTCCGGCGATGGTTTAAATGCACACAATTTGACGACAAGTGTTTCGCCACACGAAACACATGCCAACAGTTTTTGGCCCATTTGGCCGACAAACACACCCAAAGCGGGACACAAACCAAACTCTTCTGCCTCTACTGTAGCCCTATCTCCGGCTCTCCCGACGCCAAGAAGTACTTCACGCACGAGAAACTGGTCAGACATTCACGACATGTGATCCCGTGTTTTGTTTATTGCCTTTTAATTTGTGTCGAGTTTTGAATTTAGCGTTAATTGTTAGCCATATATGAGAGCCTTATGTNCCCTATCTCCGGCTCTCCCGACGCCAAGAAGTACTTCACGCACGAGAAACTGGTCAGACATTCACGACATGTGATCCCGTGTTTTGTTTATTGCCTTTTAATTTGTGTCGAGTTTTGAATTTAGCGTTAATTGTTAGCCATATATGAGAGCCTTATGTAGCCTTTTGGGCCCTTTTGTCTCAACGCTTGTATTGCCTGCCATTAAGTTTGTGTTGAGTCGAAAAGGGCCTAAATATTGGCCCTTTGTTTTATTAAGGCGTTAAAATCAAGTTTGACTTAATTAGCTGTTAATTAATGCAATTATAGTTATAATTAATATTAGTATATACTATGAGGGGTCCGGCCATACAGGGGGCGGGGGTTAAGTTGTGGCAACCCTTTGCATACAACTAATCTGCACAATATGTTTGTCTTATACCCCCACCCGAGGGGCGCCTCCTTTTGTGAGGTCGACACTTATTTTCATTAAATATGCACTATTAATTGATTGTTGCAATGAATGTGAATATTAATAAATGCACTTTAAACTGCATATCCATCTCGTGTAGGCTAGCCTAGTGACAATGGCTGTTATAGTCACGTTAGATACGGAGATAGCCAGGTATTCACACCGTGTGTAACATTATGTAGTTGTTAGCCAAGTAAGCGCGTATTTTGAGCACACAATCGCTAAGACGGGCGCCGACGCCGACGATGAACACGAGGACAACAACCAGATGCCGATCAAAGAGTGCAAAATCATTGAGTGCTCGCATTTGGCCGAAACACCGCTTCCCGACGCCCAACACTTCTTCGAGAACTACAAACACAAGCGACTCAACGGCGAAATGAATGCCTATCAGTGTCTGTACTGTCCGTATATGGACTCCACGCGCGACGAGCTGTACGCCCACTGTGTGGCCGCACATCCAGACTATCCCATACTTATATACACCGGTATTAATGCTCGCCATTCAGTCAATGGCGATAAAGACGATAACGAGATCAGCGAAGCGGTGGTGAAGACCAAAGCGGCCAAAAAGCGGTCGTTTAATGGTTTGTCTCATAAATTAATTACTGTTTATAAACCAGAAATTATGGTTAAATTAATGTGTGTTTGTTTTGTGGCCCAAAACAGAATCGTTTAGCGACTCGGATGTGACCACCAATGGTGTGGTCGATACGTACGAGTTTGACATCTGGACAGAGAGTGATGACGAAGATATGTTGCTCTCGGAAGACGACCTCTCGTCCGACGGTCGACCACTGCTGAGCGAAGTGACCGCAAACGCCGAGCCGTCGGCCAAACGTCAGCGAACAGAACCGGACTCTTCGTCGCCGCGAACCAGAATACGAGATATACTGCGATCGGCGACGCCGTCGGCACTTGTGGCCCATCGAGCGCTCAGACAGTCGTACTATTTGGCCGCCTGTCTGTCGGCAGTGTTGGCCCTGTATTTCTCGGCCTCAGTCTTCAAGCGTTAAGTTTTGTTTGATTTAGAGTTAATTTTATTGTTTGTTTATTTCCTAAATAAGGTTTTTAGGTATTATTTTACTCCCCTTTTGGGTATTTATCGTAACAATGAGTATGTTTTTACTTATAATTAGATTTAATTAAGACTTAATTAAGCATTTAATTGAATTCGGGTTTACTTTTAAGCACAATATATGACATATTATTCCACACAATAATCGATACAAATTTATTTCGACAAATATTTTCCATATATTATAATACTCTTCACTAGTCTTTTGGAGATCAAAAGTATTTCATATAATCATTGAAAACGAGACAAAAACAATACATTAGAAAACATACCAAAAATACAAATTGATTATTATTTGGTTTACATTACAAAAAAATGTTTGATTTGTCGGCAAATTTCATAACGAATTATTATTACCGTATTCTTATAACTTTTTTAACTATATGTGTAATGTTTATGTAATTTAAATCGATTTAAAGGTATCGTCTGATAGTCATTATGTTATGAATTTAATGATTGGAATTTTTGCAATTGTTTGGATTGAATTGAATTTTTAATATTTAATGTAATTTTATTCATATTTTTACAACAAATACTTTTATGCATAATATATAATATTTTTACTTTCATTATTATTATAAAAGATTTTTGATGACATTTTTGGTTTAATATAGATATACATGACATTTAGCAATGTATTGCAGTATGAATTAATCAATTTTTCATTATACAAATCATGTAATTATTTCTGTGACAAATATTTGTGTGTTTGTCTGTAGTCTGTCGTACAGACTGTCCTCAATATAATGTACTCAAAATGACAACAATTTAAGTACGAAAACAATTTTTTGTATTATTTTATGAACAATGGATTCTCAATATGTATATCAGTATAACTCTGTCTGACATTGATTTGTATTTTCATTTGACTTTTATATAAAATAAATTCTTTGTTTGCATTTATATATTGTTTATAAATATTTTTATTCAACGATTGATAAGTTAATGACAAGTTTGCAAATTATATGTAATTATATTTTATTTAGTCTAAGAAATACATATCTATCAATATATAAATATTATCATTATTATTAGAATATATCATATCATACAACAGATAACCGTCTGGCCTCCAAACGCCCCCAACATTTTTATATTGCATAAATGAGCATAAAATGATGATCATTTATATGACATAAGTCTCCCCAGTGGCGCAATTGGTTAGCGCCGGTACTTATATGACAGTATGCCTGCGCTCGGTAACTGACCTTAACGTAGAAATGCCGGGGTTGTGAGTTCGAGCCTCACCTGGGGAATCATATTTTACAAACATAATTACTTAATTGATCCAGGCACTTTTATATTGGGAAATTATAATATATTGCACAGTAAACTGTTTTCTGTTTATAATTGACTAAAAATATTATTTATTAAAATACAAATTGAAGTAATATTCTGTTACGTGTATGAATTTTTAAAATAATATTTTACATTTATAGTTTAGGTTACAAATAAAAGCTACCAAAAGTATTACTGCAAATCTATTTAGTGTTTTGGTAGAAAGAAATCACAATTAAATCAATGTATGCCATAAAAAGTCGGATATTATGAGCGTTTAAATACATATTTATAGCAATATGTTTTGAAAAGTTCATCGACTCATCGATATATAAAAAATATTTATTTAGAAAGAAATCACAATTAAATCAATGTATGCCATAAAAAGTCGGATATTATGAGCGTTTAAATACATATTTATAGCAATATGTTTTGAAAAGTTCATCGACTCATCGATATATAAAAAATATTTATTACATTAAACTCAATGCTTATGTCGTGTATTATTACTTAACATTAGATTTATTGCCAGACATTTAGATATAATTTTCTTTTGAGAAAATAAAATGAGACTTAAATTATTTACATATCTATTGAGTTTAATAATAACATTGATTCTGATATCAAACCAATTCTTATCTACCGTTGAGTGCAGTGATCAACAAAATGATACCAGTTATGTGTCCAATAAACCCAATGGTATGATTAATATATGCAGTGAATATTCTGTGCTTTAAAAATTAGCATATTATTTAGTTAATAATTTAGTTAATAACTATACAAATTATTATTACATAGTTTGTATATACAATACATGAATATTAATTATAATTAGCATAAATAACTGGATTTGTATATTTTATAATAATTATTAAAAATTTTTAAGTTGTTTATATTTTAAACCAAAGTATATGACAGAGCCGATAAATTGAGCAGGGTTAGATGCATACCCTCATTGAACATAGACTGGAATCTATTGAATTATAAGCTCATTTGGGGCATTGACTACACGCGCGATATCCGTAAACATACACTACTGGTCACTAAAATCGATTTGAGGCGACATTTGGACAAAATTATCACAACTCTTATGGCTATTCAGGACAAGAAGGACTGTCTGAGTACGACCTCCGCTAAAGACCTGATCGATGCGATCAATCACCTGAAGAATCGAGTGGACACTAACCTCAATATAACGGTTCTCTTCAATTCGCGGACACTTCACGACAATTTGGATGAGTTTCTGCAGCTCTGTCTCAGAATTGCCGGCAAAATAGGAGCCATTGTTTGACACATATTTATTTCATATATTGTTTGGCAATTGAATTGCATTGAAAGGCAACAATAAAATCGTTTTCTTGAAATAATCTAGATTTACATTTAGTTATTAACAGAATTTTGATTTTTAAAAATTATTTAATTCCTTTAAGGTCAAACATATTATTTGAATTTAATAATTAGTTTTAGGGGCTTGAATATTTGTTATTATAAATTAAGTTTATTTGTGAAATATTTACCGGTATTTATTTTGTAAAAGCATTTATTTATTTAGAAAATTATATTTAATATCCTAAAACTATGTTATTTATTTTATGAAAGGAATTCATTTAAAATATGCATAAAATGTCTAAAAGATGTATAAATTTTCAAACCAATTATGTATTGAAAACAAACCATGTATTAGAGAAATCATGACATGATTTCAAAAATATTTTCAAATTTAAAATATTGTATAAAACATAAGAAGGAAAGTATTCTTTAAAAACTGAATTGAAATCATAGACGATATGAAACCACACGAAAGATGCGATACAATAATGGGAGGAAATAATACAAAAAGATTTAAAAACTGAAATCATATGTCTTTTTGGTTCAAATTAATGTCTTATTTGATTACATACATTACCACAAATCTCTCTCTCTCTCTCTCTCTCTCTCTCTCGTCTCTCATTTTGAAGAAGCCTTTAAAAACTAAAATATAATTTAAGGCAATCAAACGATCGATGATTTTTAGAGCCCGTATTATATCATTTGGCTTAAGTATAGAGTTGTAACATCTCTTCCCATTCATTCCCATCCCATCTCTATATAACTGTATATGTTTTGGCCTTTCGATCGATAAATAGTTTAAAACTTTAACACAAGCATTAAATTTCGAGGAAAATAATTATTTTAAAAATACAAAAAATACATTTTCTTTTGATGTGTTTGAGTGAAGATCTTGTGTTAAAACTCTGATCACTGTATTGTATGAACAAAGGTCTTGATTTGTACTAAATGGTCAGAAACGGTATATTTTGATGGTTTTGATCTTAAATTACACGTTGGTAAATTTAGGTTTTAAATATTAAATGCTTTTAATATTTGTGAGACTTTATAATGTTTATATAATTATAAAATATAATGAAAATTGTATTATTAACAGTAATATAAAGTCTTTATTTAGTTTTCGAGTTATGAATATTTGATTTATTAAATTATTTTAATGGTTTTATAAATTTATTTTTATGTCTTCGACGATTAAGTCAAGCAATAATGTCTTTTATATACTACATGTCTTGTAAATTAATTACATTATTATCTATAATTAACTAAATTTTATAATGATTTATATTTTATTAGAAAGCATTTTCAGTTTATGTTTAAAATAAAAGACTGTATTTATCATAAAATTTTGTGTCAATTATGGCAAAAGTAATTACAAATATAATTTATTAGAAAATTAAAGTCTAAATAATTATTATAGTTAAATTCAAATGAATGGGTTGTACACAGAATATCACAATATATGCTATACTATGCTCTTTGGGAAAAAGCAATTCAATGGTAAATTAAAAGCGGATACAACACAGCGAATAAGACATTAATTTTTGTGTCACAAATTAGTTATATATTTATGAATATATTTGCCATACATTTGAATGAGAGTGAGAGTGAGTGAGTGAAAGAGAGAGAGAGAGAGAGAGAGAGAGAGAGAGAGATTGGGATTTGAATTATTCTTAACCAGAATTAGAAGAGATAGTGTGTTATGGAGTGAGTAATAGACAGTTAGGCCTATAAATTGATAGATAAAGAGAGAGAGAGAGAGAGAGAGAGAGAGGAGTCGAGCGACTGAATAATTTACAAAAATTATTGTTTAAAGTCTGAAGTGAATTACGGCTAAAAATTTGTCGCTTAATAATAATAATAGACTGGAATGTAATGAATGAAAATGAAATGAATGTACAAAACATTTTTGCATTGCATTCAAGAATCTCAACGACCAGACCATATATAATGAGACTTTCAAATGCATAACACAAAAAAGTGCTGTAAAATCGTTGAATGCACTCAAACTGATTGAATACTCGGTGAATTCAAAATCGTATATAAATATAGATTCTGTATATTCTGTATAACATAATACACGAGATTCTGTGCATAGAATCGCTATAAAGACATAACTATATCGATAGAGAAATGAAAGGATAGAGAAGTGAGAAGACATCGCTAGGAATTGCATACAATTCGGTTGAAATTAAATTATTTTTATTGACTCTCTCTCTTTATCTATCAATTTATAGGCCTAACTGTCTATTACTCACTCCATAACACACTATCTCTTCTAATTCTGGTTAAGAATAATTCAAATCCCAAACGGAATTCGTGCCTAAATTAGGACAACAGAAAAGTCCAAAGATATAAAAGTGAAAGAAATTGGATTTCATTTTCTTTAAATCCATTCACATATAAAACAAAGCAAAGGATTTTTGAAATAATGATCGATTTTTGTAGAATTCTGGGCTTTAAAATCACACAATTAATCTTTGTGTAAATGCGATCCTCTGCTAAATATTGCTCGTAAATTATTTATCACTTTACCTTGTTAAATTAAGAGGCTTATATTTATATTATCAAATGTACCAATCTATTACAATCTGTAATAATTACTTACTTTTTTAGTAATCTTTTTATTAATATATTATAAATTTATTTTAACATTGGAAATTATAACATAAAACATAAAAATTATAATTTAAACAAATTATTACGATTTTATAATTATTTTTATTTAATCTATAATAATCCTGGAATATTTTATTAAATTAATTATCAAATTTCATTATTTACTGCTCTTAGATTTACAGTATATTTTTTAATTAGTTTAGTATAGTTTACAATTAGTGAAAGAAAGTGAGTGAGAAAGAGAGCGAGAGAGAGAGAGAGAGAGAGAACCCAAAATTATAGACCTAATAATCTATGGGATAAAAATTCAATTATGAGAATTGCATAGCATTTGCATCGAAATGTATTAATTAATTAAATAATCTATTTCTCACTACAAAACGCAACTTTTTCTCCGACAAATGTCTTAACGGTTGGCTAAGCCTTGCATTTATAGTCGATCTACTATTTCTCTATTAAATTAACAAAATTAATACAGTATTTGCTATCATTAGACACTCATTTGTTTTTATGGGGGAAAACAAATTCAGCACTATTTTCGTACACTTCTGGTGGGAATTCATTTAATTTATGCATAAAATAATTAAAGTATTGAATTAAGAAGTTGGCCATTGGATCACAGAATTGAATCGATTTTATGCATAAATTCAATATAAAAAACAATATTTAAATTTTATTGCTTTTGTGAGTGTTTGCAAAAACCATGTCTGGAATTCAATTTGAATTCAAACTTGTTTTTGTGTCAATTTTTTTCATCATATATATGAATATCAATACATATTCTCTATATATT